CGCCTTGTTTCAAAGTGGCTCAAGAAATTGTGTCTCCGAGGATCTTCCTCCGGATTAGGTCCAAGGTCATCAACATTCCAGGAGCGGTATTAGGGGCCATGCCGCTATGGAGAATGGCTGAATCGTGAGGCTTAGCGGTGAGGTGTACTCCGTACTCTAACTGGAATGAGCTCAACTACCGGACGCCGCATAATGAGCCAGACAATAGCCAAGATTGACCGAGGCAACGGCTTCGGAGAGAGATCAGCAAAAAGCACGGATAGAGTGGGAAAATGGAAAATGAAAGACGCATTCGCGCGTGGCCGGTGAAACTGTTTCTATTTTCTGGTGATGCTCAATCTCGCGTGGGGGCAGAAGTTCAGAAGTGAGGAGGTTTGCAAAAAGTCGAGGGAACGCCCCTGGAGCAAAGCGTGATCTCCCATGTGATCGACCACGTTGGGGCCCACGACCCATTGTTTCACCCTTGAAGCTTCACCCCAGAGCAACCACGCGAGAATTCCGCTGGGCGCCTTTACCGCCCGAGCATCAACGACCTCTGATTGATCCATGTAGTCTCCTAGAGTAACTCAGCTCCTGCCCGATCACAGCCGGTCTAAGCGCTCTACGTTCTAGACCCTCCAGTGCGCCATGACGCTCTTCCCCTTCCATGACCCTTGGTCGATCTTCCAAGCTCCAACGTTGAACCTGCGTATTGTGCCTGACGTAGTTTACTGCTGACCCTTGGCTCATTCCACGAAACCCAGACTGTCGATCGGGATTTTCTGCCTGCAGTAAACAAAAGAAAACATGTGGTTGGCCATGTGCCAAAGTGGTCCCTGGCATCAAGGCATGGCAACAGCCCTGGAAATAGTCTAGTATCATTTCTTTGCGTCAGTGCTTGCATCGTGAAAGTGGACCTGCTCCCAAGGCCATCTCCACAACGGGCACATCTGCTTTTGATTCGATTTCCCTGCCTCCCACGCTCTGCGGCCCCCAATTCGATGCACGCCCACCAGAAACCCCTTGGGACCAATCCCGTCCACTGGGTCGCCTGTTTTGGATTATGCTCTTCCCACTACGCCTAACTCTGGTTAGCGCCGTCTCGATTCGAAATTCCAGGCCCACCTGGATATGGTTCATGCGAACACTGCCCGTCGCCTGGCGCGTCCAAGTCGGTGGAATGGGGTGTCACAGGCTCGTTTTTGGTGGAGACGACCGTCATGGGCAGCTTATGCGAACTGATGATTTTTTCCCCTCCATTCCGTTCTTTGCTTAGCTCCTAATCTGCCCATGTGGACCGGGAACAGTAAGCTCCTGTCGCAAGCTCGCGTGTCTGTCAAGGGCACGTCTTTGCTTCAGCTTAGCCTTCGTAGCATTTTTTCCCTTGCATATATAGAGCTGTCATCTCTGCCGTTTCTTGACCATCCTCCAATTCAGATCACATTCCACTCTATCATCATCCACAATACCACAAAAAGACAAACGAGTTTGCTTCAAGCTTCAAGCTTAACGCTATCACCGGCATACATCCATCACTGTGGCTACTTTCATCTGCCCTCTTCTATTCTCCATCTTTGGAGCGGATTCGGCACACCGACAAGAACGGGAATCTTCAACCACCAGCTCTTCCGAAAATCCTCAATCATCTTCAACTATGTCTATCCCCGAGCCATCTCCCTCCAGGTAAGTTATTCCCCTGTCTAGACCCTCACGCTTTGGTATAGTTCTAACAGTTTCGATTCACCAGCTCCCGCAATGCTGCCAGTTCTCTAAGCCAGAACAATGTCAGCCAAGTCCCACGGTCTGGCCAAAACAGCGTCAACCGCTTTGCCCGGGCACCGGCCGCGGACGGTCCCTACTACGCCGGAGCACGAATGCAAGAGCGGTCCACGCACATGAGCGGCCTCTCAAACCAGGTCAATGCGATGGACGATATCCTGAAGACCAAATGAAGACCAGCTTGAGTGGGCAAAGAGTCAACAGCGTAGGTCAGGATTGCGAGATTTGTAAATTATGCAAAGACCCAACAATGTATCATAGAATGTTATCCTTGTCTATGTATTTCTATTTGTACTAAATGAAGTTATTCTGCGGAAAGGAAGTGTATATCAAATGCAAAACACGCTCAGTAGCTATATCCAGACCTTCCAAACCCCCGGTTACTCCCCATCAAAGCAACTTCGCAATGTATGTTGCAACCTCGTCGTATCGAGTGCTGGGGAACTCGTGACCAGCCTCGTAGAACTTGAAGACTGCGTTTCCACCAAGGACAGCGGTGGCGTCGCTCACAAGCTCATCTTTGATGATAATCGCATCGGTATTACCACAGAGGATGTGAACCTTGTCACTGGGCAATCCCTTCTCAATCTTATCGTCCGATACGGTGCTGTTTTGAGCGCTCAGATACTCGCCCAGGCGTGCCCAGGTACCCCACTGTCGTTGACCCAGGATAGGACCGTGACGCATACTAGACATGAATGCATGCACAAAGCCAGAATGATTGTTGACTTGCCACGCTACGGCTGAGGGAACGTCGATATGAGGATACTCGCGAGACAGGATTTGAATCTCGGCCGCACTCTGCGACGGCATTTCCTCGGTGAGAGCATCTGCGGCGTTGAGCTTCTCATTCTTGTTCTTCTTAGGCGACACCAGAGGACCGGCTCTCAGTCGACGTCCAACAAGATAGCCTAGGAGAGACTCTGGCATAATGCCACGCTCATACAGAAGGCGACTTTGGAAGCTAATCTGAGAATCACGGACAAGACCGGATGGCGCCAGGAGCACGAGCGAAGACAAAAGTTGCGGGAAGAAAGATGCGAATGCTGCAGCAATTCCACCACCCAGGGAATACCCAACCAGGCAGAACTTGCCCGATCCAGCTCCCGTCCAGGAGATGGGTGATGAGGTCAACGCGAGCATAATCTGGGTCGCGAAAAGTCGCTCATCCTGGGGGAGATCCGACGGACAGTCAGAATATCCTCTTCCAAATCTAAAGGCGTTTTTTTTATCAGCGAACATGCCCTCATTGGCATGGATCTCAAGTAGCACTCACAAGTCAAACAGCATTACACGACAACCCCGATCGACGAGCGCATGGGCCACCCCACCGAGTGCGATACACGGCGTGGTGATCCCATGCACGAGCAGAACCTTCGGACCATCCTCTCGACCCCATTCGTACACTCGCACCGACCCGTATGGGCTCGCGACATCGCGCGCGCCGGGAAGCACGTCATCCGGGACTGGCAGTTTGCGATTCTCTTCCTCAGACAGGGTAGACAGACCCGCTCTGCGGGGCGAGACGAGGATAGTCGGTTTGTGCACATCGCCTTTGAAAAGCGATCGAAGCAGGAGGCCGAGTGTGAAAGATGCGCCTGTTACCGCCAACAGGGGAAGTTGTGTTCGCTGGTTGGCCCAGGATTCGGAGAGGAAATCCACGGTTTGACTGTACAGTGCCATGGTTGCTTCCAAATACCCCTGGATCGAAAGGAATCTAGCAGTTTCGACGGATCAAACAATCGGATGAGCGTCTTGGTTGCAGGAACTCGATAGGAATGCGCGCGCGAGTCCGTTGGGCAACGGAGAGAAGGAGAAGAGGACTCGCTGGGAGCCTTCGGCAAGAGGGGACCGAGGCGCCATGTGGCCGATAAGCCCAAGTGCGATAAGGCACGAGACGTCATCGGGCTGGTTTACGCCGTGTGATTCCACACACCTGACATGTCTTTGAGAATGAAGAATGAGAACTCAAGAGAAAATTTTCATCTTTTCTTGGAGGGGACTGGCGATCGCAAAAGTCTTCCTCAGAGCAAACAAGTTCCCCTCAAGGAAAGTATATCGCCGATTCCCGATGCCTACATACCAAGACGGAGCTTTACTCCGCACTGGAACGTCTTACGATGATATACGGCCTATCGGTATCTGCCCGATGAGATATACTTAAATTTCCAGTTTTGATTTTGACTCTCAGAGAGCAAAGATCGACGTCGGAGCTAGCAAAAGCCCTGCTAAGCCACCAAAGCCCACCCTTTGGTAGTGAGTTTTGGGCTGGTCGCATACGGTTCGGCTGTAGCCAAAATGCATAGATCTGCTAGACAGGGTATATGACTCCTTCCTGGTAGTCGGCAATCTACAGTTTCGTAAACAGAAGACCCGCCAAGAACCCAAGACTACGCATGTTACCTTCATAAGATCTTGGCTAATGCAATGGTACAACCGTGCCACATTTGGAAATCACTTAGAGTTCTATGTGGTTATTTGTGAGTTAAAGCAATTGACATTACTCCTATTTGCCGCCACTGACCTTCTGCCAGCACAGAGTTCAGGTCATGGACGCAATAAATCAATCACAGTAATTATTGCAGTACAGCTTTTCCTTTCATAGGCATGACATCGAAAGATTGACTTGATAGTGCTTGTTGAATATTATCTTAGCGATCTAGGTCCACCACATATGCTTCCTTCGCAGGTTTGTGTGATAACTTGAATTGCCTGAAATGCTAGACTTGAAAGACATTTGGTATATGATAGGGTTTAGGCACTGGTCCCCGCTAGGCGTAACTATGCGCGCTACTTATATCGGTCCTGGGCATGCTAGAATATAGTGTTTTAGCATATTTGGTCTTTTTGGCCCGTTGGACTTGTACGTCCGGGCACGTGTCGTAACAGTATACATTTGATAATGTGGGGAAGTCCATGTCCAAGGCTACTTTTATCCACCATTCATCCTGTAGGCTAATTACGATCTCATACGCCCCTAGATTTTCTCGAGTCATTCCCAACGGCCCATACTACAATGTAGATCCCTTCCGGCTTCGCCATGGAGGAAACGGAGCAAGCTAAATGGAAGCGAGCCTAAGCCATACTACTGCCATTTGTGGAAGTCAAAGTACAATTCAAAGCATGGGTCGGCATATACCGAGGGGCGTCAAGCCAGTGGCTGCCACCCCCGCAATGAGATCGACACCGCCCGCCAAGCCCACCTAATCCTCCTTCATACTCTCCTTCCCCTTTTCATCCGCGGACGCTTCACATTGAATCACCTGCTTGCCCAATGAGCGACAGAGCGTCTCCCCGCCTCGGAACAGGAGCCCTAATCGTCCTTCGGTAGGTCGAGTAGAAGTTTCATCGCGGCTATGGAAGTCATCTGGGGATGACATGGAACATCGGTCGGGTTTTATCCGGCCCAAGCTTCCAGTATGGATGTCCATCGCGGTGATAAGCTCGACCGTACACAAATAGTCCATGCTGGTATACCCTGGTGCCAGAGTGACTGCCGTGCTATTAATCGTGGCTTGTGCTGTGTCAAAACAGAACTGCCATGCTGAGAATACGCCGTATAGGTCTTTCCACCAAACTCCTGTTTGACTCTGTTTCGAATTAAACCATAACCAAGTACGATCGGTACGATCGCTCAAAACGAATACGGGGCGCCAAACCACTGTCCTCTCATTGAAGGATATTTTGTTCCCTTTATCCGTCGTGCCTGGAGAATATTACCGGGGAGGGGGTCTTGTCGCCGATCTGAAACGCCCCATGCCCAAATCGATGTGCAGAATGCAAATGGGAGTTCTACCGTGTCCCAGAACGCCTCTTCCGACCAGAGGCTACAATTTTCGCAGCGATGTGTCCACTAACCAAGCCATACATCAGCCATGGTGCCGAGTGCCGATCTTCGGGGAAGCAGCCACCTCCACACTGTCTCATGACTCTGGAGAAGCACAAACGGAATTCGTTGGTAGTACCTTAATTGCAACAAAGTGACAGAAATTTGCGCGTCGGTATATCAGCCCTTGAGCTGATTGGTATGGCTTTCCCACTCAAGACTCGGCTACTTTCGTTGCCTTCGACGAAACTAAATCGGAGAATCCTCCGTACTGATGGGATATTGAAACCACTAGCTGCTAGCTACCCGCTCAAGACTCCATTTCAGGAACCTGTCAAGTCCATTCTGTCGAATTTTCCATGACGATCTTTCCCTGTTGACCGTGGAGCCGGGTCCACTTTCAAATCAATGCACGACGCCGGTGGCTCACCTAATCTGGTATTCCCCGTGGTTTTGATGAAGGGTCTATTCTTCTCTATGTATCATTGTCCATACCAATTTGGTGACGGCGTCACGGTCCGCAACACCCGGCATGGAGTCGTGGGAGAACTTGTTTCGAGCTTTGCATAACAGAACAAGTGGATGCCTTATGGAGCAAGAAGTGCTATATAAAGACCCTGACGCCGCGTCTTCGGTCTTGGTGTTATTCACCAACTGCAGGCCAGTGTGAAGACGAGCAGAAAAACAGACAGATCAACCGACAAAGTATTCATTCCTTCGATTCCCCCCCAGATGCATCAACGCGCCCTCCTTTTCTCTGCCTTGATGGCAAGTGTTGGAGCCCAGCAGGTCGGCACGCAGAAAACAGAAACCCACCCGTCTCTTACCTGGCAAGAGTGTACCTCGTCTGGTTGCACGGACAAAGATGGCTCCGTCGTCATTGATGCCAACTGGCGTTGGGTTCACTCCACTGATGGCACCACCAACTGCTACACTGGCAACACGGTATGTTTGACATCCTATTTTGCGAAAGTCCTGATAACTGACCATTGCAACTTGCCGTGAACAGTGGGATGCTACTCTTTGTCCCGACGATGCCACCTGCGCTACTAACTGTGCCGTCGATGGTGCGGACTATGCCGGCACCTATGGTGCTACTACCTCCGGTGATGCCCTGACTTTGCAGTTTGTCACCGGCTCAAACATCGGTTCCCGTCTGTATCTCATGGAGGACGAGAACACCTACCAGACCTTCAAGCTGCTGAACCAGGAGTTCACCTTTGATGTCGATGTTTCCAAGCTGCCCTGTGGCTTGAACGGTGCTCTGTACTTCGTTTCCATGGACGCCGATGGCGGATTGTCCAAGTACGAGAACAACAAAGCTGGCGCCAAGTACGGTACTGGCTACTGTGACTCCCAGTGCCCTCGTGACCTGAAGTTCATCAACGGTCAGGTTAGTAATTGCATAGACTTATACTATCGTTCTACTGGAACTGAGACTAATTGATCATTTTTAGGGCAATGTCGAAGGGTGGGTGCCGTCCGAGAACGATGCGAACACTGGTGTTGGTAACCACGGCTCTTGCTGTGCTGAGATGGATATCTGGGAGGCCAACAGCATCTCCACCGCTGTGACCCCCCACCCTTGTGATACCGCCAGCCAGACTATGTGCGAGACCGACGCCTGCGGTGGCACATACTCCTCCAGCCGTTACGCCGGCACCTGCGATCCCGATGGCTGCGACTTCAACCCTTACCGCATGGGTAACGAGACCTTCTTTGGCCCCGGCAAGACCGTCGACACCAACTCCAAGATGACCGTCGTCACTCAGTTCATCACCAGCGACAACACCGCCACTGGCACCCTCTCAGAAATCAAGCGCATTTACGTGCAGAACGGTAAGGTGATCGCCAACTCGGCCTCGGACGTCAGCGGTGTCACCGGTAGCTCTATCACCTCGGACTTCTGCACTGCCCAGAAGACTGCTTTCGGTGATCAGGATGTCTTCTCGAAGCACGGCGGTCTCTCTGGTATGGGCGATGCTCTGGCCGATGGCATGGTCCTGGTGATGAGCTTGTGGGATGACCACAACTCCAACATGCTCTGGCTTGACAGCAACTACCCCACCAATGCCACCGCCACCGACCCCGGTGTTGCCCGCGGTACTTGCAGCACTGACTCCGGCGTGCCTTCTGATATCGAGTCTGCCTCTGGCTCTGCCACTGTCGTCTTCTCCAACATCAAGGTCGGCCCCATTGGCTCTACATACTCTGCGTAGATCCTGAGCAGGTAGGATCGAGGGCTTTTTGTGTTCTGTCTTTCTGCACGGTTACTCGAAGGATTTTGGAACCCCGACAAAGATAACTGAAAGCATAGGGTCCGAGGGGAGGGGAGTGATGTCTCAAGCTGTTGAACAGCAATCTTGTGGCTGTCTTTGTACATTTCCTCTCATTCGTTTTTTAGAGAGAGCTATGCTCCTATTTCTATTCGTGAACTTTACTATGTGCAAATACAATGCATTATTGAGATCCAGCATACCTGTCCCGGACTCCTTGTACTCCCGTCTATTAGTAACCTCTCTATAAGGCTGTAAACACTATTGGAGAAGCAAAAATACGAGATGTATATGTTGTTCTTATCATTGGATGCTCTAGAAGTGTGCTAATGATTATTGGTCCTCCATGGTTGACATGTACTAAACAAGTGATGTCATCTATCACCTAGTCCCACTTTAAAAGCAAAGGCGGTCAACGCGGAAGATTGCCGGGCCGCGAAAAAAAACGGGCAGCTCCCAAAGCTCTCCGCTTCGCAGAATTGTAGTTGAGAGATCAATTGCCTTTGTCTCGCCCGAGCAGCATCTTGCTCCGCTCGACTCTCTGCACCATCATGTTCGACACGGTCTGCACGCTTCCGCTGTCCTCGGACCTCTTCACCCAGGCTATCCACCCTAAGGAGCCTGTCGTGTCGGTTGGTCTAGCTGCGGGCCACGTTCAAACCTTCCGATTGCCGCTTGAAGAGAGCGACAGCGATGACGATGATGCCTCGACCTCGTCTTCGCGCAATGGCAAGGGCCACATTGACACCATGTGGAGGACACGGCGACACAAGGGCAGCTGTCGGTGCTTGGCGTTCAGCGTTGACGGAGAAATGCTGTACTCGGCTGGCACGGACGGTTTGGTGAAGATGGCCAAGGCAGAGAGTGGCCAGGTGGAGAACAAGATTGCAATTCCTCTCGAGAAGAATGGGTATGGCATTTGCCCGTGTACAAGGCGTCAATGCATCAGCTGGAATGTCTCTGGCTAACATTTCCTTCCTCTGCTCCATAGGTCAATCGATGCGCCCACCGTGATTCACGCCCTCTCTCCACAGACCCTTTTGCTTGCCACAGACTCAAGCGCACTGCACCTATACGATCTCCGTATTCCCTACTCCAAGGTCTCTGCGCGACCTGAACAATCGCACCATCCCCACGACGACTACGTCTCCTCTCTGACTCCCCTCCCTGCCTCCGACACCAGCACTTCCGGCTTCAGCAAGCAATGGGTCACGACTGGTGGTACTACCCTTGCTGTGACCGATCTGCGCCGCGGTGTTCTAGTGCGCAGTGAAGATCAGGAGGAGGAATTGGTCAGCTCTGCTTTCATTGGCGGACTCGCCAGCAGCGGCACCAGCCGTGGTGAGAAGGTGGCCGTAGGTGGATCCAACGGTGTTCTCACGCTTTGGGAGAAAGGCGCATGGGACGACCAAGACGAGCGAATCTACCTTCAGCGCGACGCTGATGGCGGAGAGGCAATTGAGACTTTGGTCACTGTGCCGGACGAATTGGGCCGGGGCAAGCTGTTGGCAGCCGGTCTCGGCAATGGATTGATCAAATTCATTCGCATTGGTCCCAACAAGGTATCTTCCGAGGTTGTCCACGATGAGACCGAGGGTGTGGTTGGTCTTGGCTTCGACGTTGAGGGCCGCATGGTCTCTGGGGGTGGTCAGATCATCAAGGTCTGGCATGAAGCTGTAAATGGTTCGAGTGGAGACGGCCTGGCCGGAGAAAAGCACATGATGGGTGACAGCGACGACAGTGATGATAACTCTGATGATAGCGATGCAGAGGAGCAACGGAAAGCGAATGCGAACGAGCACAAGAAGCGCAAAAAGGGCAAGGGCCGTGGTACCGGACCCGATGTCATGGCTTTCGACATGGATTGAAAAAAAAAACACGAAAAGAGAGTGGCCTATTCCTAGCCGCATTTATCTGATACCCATATCGTATGTTTTTAAGGACTACAGAAGAAACACTATTCATAGCCACGTGAGTGGTCTTCCAACGGTGTTTGAGTATGTTTAGACAGTAATTAGAAGGGTAGAGTCCGAAGTATATCGTTGATTAGCCCCCTTAGGGTATGTTCACATCCGAGAAGGCCCAACGGAAAGGAAGAAGTATATCCGAGAAAGTTCTAACCTAATTGAACAGCCACGGAACGCTTATTCATGCTGAACTAAGCCCGGGGGATTCCCGTGATGCTTCTAGTCGACAACTAGACAGGGACTCAAAAAAAGCTTTGAACCAATTATCGTAGCTAGGTATGGTAGACGATAGTATCGAGAGTATACAGTCCGTTCATCTAATCATGTAATGCAAACTCGAAACTGAAATCCTCGTTTTGAGCCACCAGATCAATTGCATGTCGGAACCAAGCTCAATCGAACTGCCGATGGTCGACCCCACGGCCCCACGGCTGTAGCCCATGACGTTCTTCGAATTGCGGTGGGGTGTGGGGGAAAGTCCAACTATAAGACTGCATTGATCCGCTCCCGATTAGCGGGACGAGAGAAATTAACTACAGTATATTCTAACAGCCAGCGCCATGGACGCCTTCGAATACAATCCCAACCCCGGCCGCGTCGTCTTCGGCAGCGGCACCCTGCAGAAGCTTCCCGAGGAAATCACCCGGTTGCAAGTCAAGGCACCATTGGTCCTCTCAACACCGCAGCAAGTCAGCCAGGCCGAGAGTGTCAAGGATGTCTTGAAGGGCCAGGTGGCCGGCATCTTCAGCGAGGCTACCATGCATACCCCGACTCATATCACCGAGAAGGCATTGGAATATGCTAAAGCGCAGGGCGCCGACTCGGTCATTTCGATTGGAGGTGGAAGCACGATTGGACTCGGCAAGGCGATTAGCATTCGCACTGGACTGCCGCATATTTGCATTCCGACGACGTATGCGGGTAGTGAGATGACTCCTATCCTGGGCGAAACGGCCGATGGATTGAAGAAGACTCGCTCTGACCCCAAGATCCTGCCTGGCACGGTCATTTACGATGTGGACTTGACAATGACCCTGCCGGCAGCGATGAGCGCGACGAGCGGTGTCAATGCGATTGCTCATGCAGGTAAGTGACTATTCAAATCTGGAAGATAATCTTTGAAGCAATATCCGGCTAAATCTCTCTGAACTAACCAGTCGAGGCGTTGTACGCCCGCAACACCAACCCTATCATTAACATGATGGCCATCGAAGGTACCAGGGCCCTTGCATCTGCCCTCCCCGAAATCGTCGAGAATCCATCTTCTCAATCAGCCCGGTCCAAGGCCCTCTACGGTGCCTGGCTGTGCGGTACTTGCCTGGGAAGCGTGGGCATGTCCATTCACCACAAGCTGTGCCACACTCTAGGCGGCAGCTTCAACCTTCCCCACGCGGAGACCCATACTGCAGTCTTGCCCCATGCCATTTCTTACAATGCTCCGAATATTCCTGAGGCTATCAAGCAATTAGCAGATGCTTTGCCGGATAGCAATGGCGATGCTATCCACGGTCTCAACGTTCTGCTCGAGAAGTTGAAGGTCAAGCGGGGCCTCAAGGACTACGGTATGAAGGAAGAAGATATTGACAAGGCTGCTGATATTGCGGTCTCGAATCCTTATTGGAATCCTCGGGCTATCGAGCGGGCTCCCATTCGTGAGTTGATCCGCCGAGTTTGGGCGGGAGAGCCAGCCAAGGCGAATTTGTAAATAAAATATCCAGCACAAACTTTAACTTGCGAAATATGATAAAAACCCACGGAATGAATTAAAGCAGAAATTAGATTCACCTTATCTCATTCATCTGATCCCCTTAATATCACGTTCATGAGTGACAATGTTAGGGTTGGGCCTCTGCCAATGGGCTGATCCGCAATTTTTGTTATCGGCGGGGGGAAGGTGGGGGAACTATTTTTTTTCTCCAAAAATTTCAGGTCCCTCCACCATATCGCCCGTCTACCCCTCCAACGCCCACATACCAGTATATACCTTTCAGGATGGGTTCCGAAATGGAGGCAGCTCCCGTTCTGTCAACCCCCGACGATCGAATCCTCGAGGCCACCGAGCCCGTCATCGCCAACGATGCGAAGCAGCCGCTGTCCGACGATGAACTTTCCATCACCTACGACATCGAGCGCACGCTGAAAGAGATCCGCCGGGCGCGGTACAAGCGCATCGCCCTTCAGTTCCCCGATGATATGCTTCCAGATGCTCCGCGGGTTTTCCAACTTCTCAGCCGCGGTCTCAATTCCGAGGACGTTGCTAGTGCGAATGGGACACACACAGCCGGCCAGACAAATGGTGACGCCGCGGATGCGGAAGGAAACATAACCGACTCGGCGTCTCGGCTGTCTGTCGCTGATGAGACTGAGAAGTGGTCTCCTCGTCTCTACATTCTGGCGGACACCTCGTACGGCACTTGTTGTGTGGATGAGGTGGCCGCGGAACATGTGGACGCAGACGTTGTGGTGCACTACGGAAGATCTTGTCTGTCGCCAAGTGCCAGACTACCCGTGATCTACGTCTTTACAAACAAGTCCTTGCCTTTGGATCCCGTTGTGGAGGCGTTCAAGGCGACCTATCCGGATCTGACGGCCAAGGTCATCCTCGCAGCCGACGTGACTTTCTCCGCTCATGTCCCTGAACTTCACGCTCGCCTAGTGCAGGATGGCTACAGCAATTTGTTTGCGACCGAGGTTGCTCATGAGCCCTCCTCGCCCATTCCCAATCGCACTGTGCCCGAGACTGTTCGAGAAGCACCAGAGACACTGTCAGACTGGCAACTGTTCCATATCTCTGACCCACCTACTGCCCTGCTCTTGACCCTTGCTTCGCGAGTTGCCGCCATTCATATCTACCCCACGAGTAACCCAAGCAACACCAATATCAAGCCACTTCCCGCTTCTACTTCGGCTGCCTTACGCCGTCGCTATGCGATTTTGACTTCCTTGAACACCGTGCCTATCTGGGGCATCCTGATCAACACTCTGAGTGTTAAGAACTATCTGCACATTGTGGAGCATGTGAAGGAGCAGATTGCCGCTGCAGGCAAGAAGAGCTATATGTTCGTCGTGGGCAAACTCAATGCCGCCAAGGTCGCCAACTTTAGTGAGATTGGCGGCTGGGTGGTTATTGGTTGCTGGGAGAGCTCGCTGGTGGACAGCCGGGATTTCTGGAAGCCCGTCATCACTCCATTTGAGTTGGAACTGGCTCTGAAGAGCGATGCCGAGCGAGTTTGGACCGGATCATGGCATACCAACTTCCAGGCCATCCTGGACAAGCCTGCCGAGGAGGCATTACATGAAGATGGGCAGGCGACCGACAATGTCGACGAGGAGGATGATATGTCGGAACCCGAAAGTGCACCGCCCGAGTTCGACTTGCGGACAGGGCGATACGTCTCGCATTCCCGTCCGATGCGAGATCCCGCACCCCGCGCTTCTTCCCAGATCGACGGGACGACCGCGGCCGGCCCATCCGCTGCTAGGGCTTTGGCCCGACGAGCTAAGGGCGACTTAGCGATGATCGGCGGTGCCGTCTCGCCAGGGGCGGAGTTCTTACAGTCCCAACGGACATGGAAGGGGTTGGGAAGTGACTTCGATATTCGGTACGATGAGGAGGACGAGGATCCATCAGATAGTACGCTTGTCAAGGAAGGGCGCAAGGGTATTGCGAGGGGCTACACTGTGGGCGAATCGGGCGAGAAACATTAGTTTAGCGCCGCTTTGGGCCCTTTGAAAACGGCGGCCGAGCGCCCTATAGGAACCATCGAGCCGGAGACCATCTCAGCCTATTTGTACATCCGAGCGATAGAGTGCAAATAATTCATCCGTCAACCCAGTTCGATGACTGCAGGCCTTCCAATACATTGGTCTTATTGAACCAGTGAAGAATTCGTATTCTCTGCTTCTAGGACCCTAGCTCTAGATGAAGACTACACCCTAACGCTGTAGTATCACATGACGCCGTTGTTTCCAACGGCGCATCCGGCACACCTGGAGTCTTTCGATCTTCCCTTTTTTTGAGGCTGGTGCATAATCCCGTGAGACCTCTCCATTTTCTCCTCCCTTTTTGATTTCTTTCGTATGTCTACTTCTCTCTCGCCCTCTCCCTCGTCGTAAAACAACCCCTCTCCTCCTTCGTTCCCCCTTCGGATAGCCGATCTGCCCCAGCCCTTGCGATCCACATCTTATCGATTACCGAACCCAGTTCAACGCTCGACGGCCTTGCATGGTGGCTTGCCTGGAGATGTGATTGTCCATTGCCCAACTCCAGCCCACCTTATCATGAGCTGTATCTTGACTCAACCTCTTCGCGATTTCGCGTCGTCCAATCTCCCCATCTAAACTGAGCGTGAGTTGAGTTACGCCAGATCAAGCTCGGTATCGGTATCTGCTCACGCGGGCCCGGCGTCAAATCGCCCGCAACACGAACCACTATGGCGCAAGCACTCGAGGGCTCTGAGCAAGAACCGCAGCAGCTCATCGAAAATGCCTTGCAATACAGCGCCATCCCCGCACAGCGGATGCTTTCCCTCTTCGAACGGGTAATCACCACGAATGCTCCGATCCTCGAGTCCCTACTCCTCCAGATCCCGACCGACACCATCCTCGCGCTCTACCACACCTCCCATTACCTCCGCACATTTCTCCAGTCGTATCCGACCGCATGGAAATCTCTTTCATTTCGACTTCTCTGCCCATCGGGCACCCTACCGTCAACCCGGATTATCATCCCGGGCATGTCAGACCCGGACACCCAACGCCAATCACGACCATACGCTTTAGATCAGCTACTGATGAACGTGGTGATCCCGTTCAGTGGATGCCTCAGGAGCTTGGAACTGGACAACACGGCCGTCTCGGGTCAGATTCTGATCTCGACCGTGTTGCATGCGCGTCGAGAAACACTGGAGCACCTGTCGGTTCGGGGCTGCAAGAATGTATCTCTCAAGTACCACGTTATCCCGTATCTGACCATGTTCGGGTTGCAATACGATGTGGATATGGAAAGGAATATCGGCAGTTCCCCGGCTACTCAACGGCTTGCGCTCAAGAGTCTCTACGTGTATCGATGCCGTCACCACCGTCGTCGGCCGTACCTATCTGCTTCGCTGTTGCGGAAGGACTCTGATTCGGAGCCGACTCATGATTTAGTGAATCTTTGCCACAAACTAGGGATATGGACCGACACTGCCTGGTGCACCACTCCAGCTGGGAGATGTTTTCGCAGACGCGGATATGTCTCGATGCGGGTTCCGCAAGGTTCTCCGGAGGTTTGGGTGGTATTCGACCGGCTATGGCGATGCAAGAACTGGATCGGTTCTGTGGACTCTAAAACGGAGCGACCGCGTGTGCCCGATGGGAAGCTGTGGGAGAACTGCGACACGGGATGTCATGGTGAAGCCCTAGGGACTGGCGAAGGGCCGGATGTCGGCGAGGGGAAGATGACACCGGCGCATCTACGTCAGAGCCATACACAGTTTGTGGAAAACGTGAAATGCGACAACTGTTTCGATGATATCTCAGAACGGTGCGAGCAGTGCAGCATCTTGATGCATTGTGTAGGATGTCGGAGAACCCTTTGTGCAAGCTGTGCCTATGAACGCCCCTACCTCCATCGGGGCAAATCAGCTCCCGACCCTGGAGTCAGCAGCAGCAGCAGTGACACGAGCAGTTCAACTTCCCTGTGGTGGGCCCCCGGGGCGACCCTCTCGCCCAGCTCGATGCAGGATCCGGTCCCAAATCCGATGGATAACACTCAGTTCCATGGGGGTGCGCCAACGTCACTTCCTGCTCTCAAGTTCCACTGGTGCTGCACGGAACCCATCTTCTCCGGCGGAGGGGGTATCAGCATCGGCACTCCCAGTCGAGATGTCGATCAAGTGCGAGCTGTTCCGTTGCCACGTGGTCAGGGCTGGGAAGACCTCGAGTACACCGTCAGCGAGTGGAGCAAGACCTTCCCAAAATACGCTTACGGCGACCCCAGTAAACCGGACTACTCGCTGGAAACCGGGCATCTCGCCATGATGCAGTGGTTGCTTGGACCTCCCAATCGGCAGGTATCGCCGTGTCCGCGCAATCTATGTCAGGAGTGCTATGACTCGCCTCAGTGGAAAGTACATTGCAAAAGCTGCTCTAAGCCCCTTTGCATTGAACATGACCTCCGCGGGCTTCGCCTGCGCATCTGCGGCTACAGGGACCTCGCATTTGAGAAGATGACCATTCAAACCCGATCTACGGCACACTCGTCACCTGAGGCGTCCTTTAGCCAACAGTTTCCCCGTAGCTCACAACTTCCTAACTACATCCTCCCTTTCCGGACGTCGCGAATCCTCGACTCCGCCAATAGCAGCTTTATAGACGACCCGCAGGGCGATGTCATCGCAGATGATACCGAATCCGACACTCCGAATGGGGACGGGTCAACCCATCCTCTCTTCTCTCGCAATGCAACTCGGTCCTTCTCCGCCCCACCGTCCAATCACTCCGGATCATCCTCACCAACATCCGTATCCTCCGAGACTGCCTTTGAAGCGCCACGTTGGCAAGGATGCCAATCCTTCTTCTGCCCTCAGTACCGTGCCGTCGGGGATCAACGACAACGGTGCCCGAGCTACCTCCGAGAATGCAAGGCCTGCGCAGTGTATGTCTGCCAGGATTGCGTACAAGCCCACCCACCTTGCAAGTGCTCCTACTGCGAAGAAAATTATCTGTGCCCGAACTGCATGAAAGTCCGTGCCCGTGACGGCACGTGCCGCCGTCGAGAAGAAGAGAAGGCTCGGAGGGAGCGAAAGTGGAAAAAGGACATGCAGGTGCTTGAAGGCATCTTGGAGCTCAAGGTTGCCAACGAGGTTGCCGAATTTGCTGGCCAGTTCTTTGACCTCGTCGACCTTGACACCGGAGGCGCCATCGTCACCAGTTGTCTCTTGGATGACACCGAGTCCGAGGCACCCCAGCCCGCTGAACCCCCGATGCTACCCTCAAGCATGACCGCGGGCGTTGGTTCAAGTACTATGTTCTTCGAGGCCAGCTTACCGGGTGCACCTGACGATTCAGAATAAGCTTCATTCTCATCCAATGAAAGAAGCTAGCACCCCGTTCACCGCATCTACATCATCTCCTTTGACTCTCTCGGGTTTCTCTGCTTGCTTTCTTTCTCTTTCCTTTAGCGATCTTTACCTCATACCACGGCGTCATCGGGGAGGCTTTCACAACGATTTCCTGACATTTGATCCCATCCCAGCACATCATCCAACGAATCTTTCTGCACGGGAAATATTTTCCGAAGCGATCTATGCATGGCCGGGGGGGGCGCGAAGCGAAATACAGGCTACTTCAACCTGGGCGTTCAGCGGCATGAGAACGCATACTAACGGCATATCCGGCACTCTTTGGTCCATTGATTTCTTCACCTACCCTTTGTTCTACCCCTTCCTTTCGAACGAAAATCTTTCAATTCAGACCGAAGCTGCAGAAGCTAAACAAGGGCCCTGTGCCCCGTTTTGCTTCTTCGGCAATCGGGTTTGCAGGAACACAAACCGGTCTGACAACATGGCTGGCCAATGGATGCAGGCACCGAGTCCGGTGCTTTCATCATTATTCTATTTCTATTCTGCTAGGTTCCTCGGTTGCCGGGCTGGTTGATCCAGCGCGTGATTAGGTGAAGGATGACATGGCATACCCTCGTCGGCTGGACTTATTCCTTACGATCATGATGGGCTATGCAGCATCCTTTAGTTTATTTTTTTCCCATATATCTTTTTTAGTGCTCGTGACCAATATGAACACCCATTTCTAGTGGATCGTCGCCCACGCGGTCAAGACGTTTGGTGTACCTATATTCCGTATCTTTCCTGTCAAGGCTCCTATGTCCCATTTCTCCGTAGGTTCGGGGAAATAAGCACCTATGGCTCCTCAGTGTTGGCGGAATTCCGGCTTGTGGAGACAAGCAAAGGGACCCATCGACCTCCCCCGGTCCGATTGGTTTACTGTTCCAGTTGTATACCCACCGCTGCCCGATTTGCCCCTTTCATCTCTTCTCTTCTTCGATGGCGATGCAGAGTACGATATACATGTTGTCCTGTCCGAGGCTATCAAAATCAAAAGACAGTACAGTCGCAACTCGTGACGTGTTGTATCAAATCCATAATCTACAGAAGCCAACAAATCCTATTTCTCGTAGATCTCATTTTGCCAACGAAGTGACAAAACAGATCTACCTCCTCAGACCGCCGATACTCCGTCGGCAAAACCTCGCAACTAACGGATCGCCATCCCACGATACCCTAATCATCACGGAGCTAGCAATTTCCTCTTTCGAATTGACGCGGTAGCAACGACACCGCACCTTGTAAATCATACCCATCCAAGCACTCATCTCCTACCGCCACGACAAGCAAAAACAAGTAATGCCCTAGCACCGCACTCCGTACTTCCGCACAAAGCAATATAATTGCATATCTCGCCATGACCGGCCCCCCAAACGGCCAAATCGAGATATCGCGATCGCAGTTCAACAAAGTACCAAGCACCCAAGTACCGTCCCACAAGCTACAACAGCCGTCTGCAATCTCCTTCCACGATCGTTCAGGGTCTCCACCCCTAGCGCCTCGTCGTCACGGTACAAAGTTGACATGTGCAAAGTATCCCCTTTAGCCCGATTGAGCTAGGTATTTTTGCCACGTCAGGACCTTTGCTGTCGGCTTGTGCTCTTGCTATTTCCCCGTTTCCCCGTCGCGGATTCGCGGGAGTGGCGGAGGAAGTGAGTGGTTGGATCGTCGATTGAGACTACTAAAGTACTAGATGTCGATCGTTGGGTTTGGGCTTTTCCGTGATTAGATGCGGGTAGGTGGGTGGGCCGGTGGTTAGTTGCCGGGTTTGATGTGTATAGTTGGGTTTACCAGTAGAACGGAACAGCTCGGTCGTCGGATCAGTCCGCTGTGTCGGGTGATGGGGTGGGGTGGGGAGGTACTACTGTATCTACTGGTGGAGAGCTTGAGTGTTTGTCTGGTTGTTGGGGTTTAGCTTGTTAAGGTGGATTTGATTCATCGATCTAGACTACTGGTGCCTCTAGGCTATGGCAAGGAAGGGAGAAAGGGAGGGAAAGGCGGTTGCATTAGTCTTCTGCTTCAGGATTGCTTGTTTCATTGCATTCTTGTTGTCCATCAGCTTATTGACAAGTGTTCTTTTTATTTCAATTTGTAACTGGACGGTGTGGTTATGACTCACAGCTGAAGTAGGAGATCAGGCTGATTTGTCAATTTATAGTGCTACAAGACTGTCCGGTGAGGGTAGACTAGTCGTCATCAGTGTTATTCTCCGCTTATTGGTTGATTTGCTCCGAAGGAATTTGAAATAGGAGATTCTATATTTCTGATTTTTGGTATTGGACAACATGGTATAGGTCTAGAAGGTTGTGGGCGGAGAGTTTTCCTATTCCAGTGTCAGTTATTACCTATACTTTTTGTACTATGAAGTGATATTCGATCCGCCAAGATGGATGCAGTTACCATATAGAGCTGGACATGAGATGATACAAATCTTCCATGGTGATGTACCCAGTTGATGACGATGACAGCTATGCCATTAAGCCACCGTCTCCTAGACCTGCACCGTTTACCGGACCAAGACTCAGCGGTAAACCATCATGCCGTTATCCTGGTAGAAACCTTAATTCCTCCGAATGTCGCGCTGAAGATCCGACGCAAGTGTCGCGCCATGGGCATGTGACAACCTCCTCCGCCGACGCAATGGACTCTCGAAGTGCCGATATCGTCAGGATTCTACACCATTTCTCCATCAGCGTCACTCTGCCGTCACAGCACAGCATCATTCAGGAACTAGTAAAATGGCCGAGCGTCGGTCATCGGTCATCTGATAGTCATGGAGGGGTCAGTGGTCAGTAGAGGGGGTAAGCAGGGGCTCTCGCGTTGCGAACCCAACGTCGGTCCGAGGACGTGTCTTCACGTACTTGGACGCGCGACGATGCGGTCAAGAAAGCAGGTCAATAAGACGAGAAATGAGCACAAGGGCAACGGTCATCATGCGACAGCGCACCACGTGGGATTGGCGGAAGAAACGTCCCGCGACGGACTCTGCAACTTGAAACGTCTTATCGGCGGTGAGGGTGAACCTGGCCGATTGGGAGGGTCCAATAGAAGCATAGATATGTCAGGTAGGTCAGGTCCAGGTGCAGGGGCTCAGCGTAGGCAGAACCGCTCTTTCTCTCGGTGGGTTTGCCTGTCAGTCAGTTGGCATGGCCGAGCGCAGAGATCGGGTGTGGATCGGGCGTGCCGATCCTTAAGATCAACCCAACCCGGCTCCCCGGGGCTTGGGTGTTTAGTGGATGTACTCTGTATGGAGTACATGTCCAGCCGTCGGGCCTGATCCGGTGTACAGGTACAGGTACAGGGTCAAGTACAGCTTACACGACATGTCTTGTTCCTTTTTACCCGCCCACTCACGCCGTGTCCAGTGTCCAGGGTCCACTGCCCTGTGCCCCCCCTTTCCAAGTGCCTGAACCCCTCCAGCCCACCTTCTCATCAGGTGGCAGTGAAGGGGTACTGTACGGAGTACAAGACTCGAATCAGATACCAGATCGGCTGGCGCGGATGCAGACATGGAACTCCCCGGTTGGTACGGGGCGTTCTTTGGAGGGTCCAGTCTGGAAGACATCCTATTAGCCAGTGACGGACCATCGCCCCCCCCCCCCCCCCCCCCCCAAAGGGAAACCCACATAAGCTTCGGAGAACAAACGACGGTGAGCCCTTTAGAGATGCATGCAGCATTGCCACAAGGTCCAGCCGTGAATCTGTGACCGGGTGAGTCGATCTGATACGCAAGCCGTCAGTCCAAACCCCCCCCCCCCCCCCCCCCCCCCCCCCCCCCCCCCCCCCCCCCCCCCCCCCCCCCCCCCCCCCCCCCCTCCCAAGGGGAAAAAAGGGAAGGGGATGGGGGCAGACGGTCGCACTGGGGCCGGTGGGGTGCCAGGTCGAGCGCGCGATCAGGATTTCAAAAGAGCTGGACACTTGGGTCGCTAGTCTGCCGCGGACTGACATCACCGTCCGCGCTGTTCGTTTTCATTTTGCTTTTTTGTCCATTGTCAGCCTAGGGTCCCAGGGAGAAGGAAGAGGGAAGTGGGGTGGTTCAAGTGGGGGGATGCGATGTTGGGTGGAGACCAACTGGCGCCAATTTCAAGATCCGGCTTCAACCCTGGCGGAACGAGTAACCGTCTATGCAAACCTGTTGACTCTAGTGGACGTACTAGAGTAGTAGTGACACTTCATAGATCCAATGGGATACTCTGGATATATCTCGAATCCTAGATACCTGGATATACCGGGATTTACCCAGGTCTCGTTAGAATAGGATGGTTCAGGCGGACCGCTCGCTAGTCGGTTAGAGGGGCTTGGAGTAGCGACTTGAAGCCAACAAGGGGGGGAGGCCGGGGAAAAAGAGAGTCGGTGAAGCCAAACGTCAGGTGCAGACGCGACAGCCTCGAGAGTGATTGGTGGATGTAGGGCTGATGATACTTCCAGAGCAGAAGAGATTGAATGATTGGAGACGTTTAAAAGGGTTTGGGAAGTCACTGGACTCGAAGGCTCGTGACCGGTTTTCCTTTCCTAGTGATTCATTGTCGAGAAGCAAACATTTCCAACAATGCGGTGGTTGGATCAGGAAAAAAAAGAAATTCAAATTAAAAATACTAAAATGGATTTGTTTTTTTTATTTTGGCACCTTTCACATCTTGCATGGAGGATGCACTTGCTTAATTTTAAAATAATGTTTTACGGACTATAGAATATTCTTCGGGTTGGGATTTCCGGGCGTTGGTCTATATAAAGGGGCCTTCGGTCGTGATCGCTATTAACATTGGCTTTTTTTCCGGTGGCGATACTTCCAATCATTCGGACTTTACGCCAACGATTTCGTATTGCTGGTGAATACGCGCTGCATGATCTATTTACCTCCGACATATCCTCCTCAATACTCACGACATCGGCTTCTGGTCTCTGTAACCATATACTTCGACCTGGATCATTACAATGGACTCTATCAAAACCAAAGACGTCCCCCCAACTCCCAAAGACACCAAACCCATGACCAGCGTGGAGGAATACCAACGCCGATGGGCACAACTCATGGATGACACGGCCAAGCAGATCCAAAAGATTCGAGGTGCGCAAAACCCGATCCTCCCGAAACCGTGACGTCTGATAGATCATATGCAGGGAGCACCAAAGCTGACAGTTTATTCCCATGTTTTTTTTCTTTTAGATGAAGAACAAGCCCGGAAGTCCAGCCCGGCCTAGAATCGATGATATCCGCGCGCCCTTGCGCGAACGGTTTTGAATAGCCTGCGGCTTTAAACTCGTCGTTGATCCATTCTTGATTCCTGTTCTTCGCACTTGGTCGGAGTTTATTGGGGCTTTTATTTTTTTTTATTTTTTCCATACTTCCTTTTTCACTTTTTACTTCTTTTGGATGTGTTTCTTCTAACTGGTTCCGCTTCTTGACTATATACTTTGCATGGGACAGCCGGCGATGAGTTTCAAGATCCAAAGCTGACCATTTGGGCACACTCGCTGTTTTCTTTGTTTTTTTTTTTTTCCTTGGAGTTTTGTTCAATAGAGGGGGGCATGGGAAGCAATGGCATTTCAGCACCGCCACCAAAGCCTTGAATTTTAGCCCTTGGTGGTTGATGACTACTATTTCCAGCATTTTTTTTTCTCTCTGTTCTCGTCACTGCATGTACCAATGAGTGATCTACTAGAAAGTGGGAAACATCCCTGGCTGATCGTCCTCTCGCCCTAGCCTGGTCTCGAATTCTCAC